TATTTCGGACTCATCAGCTGGATGTGCCTGCACTCCCGTGAGTGTTGTTGTTCCAAATGAGACTGGAACACACTGTTCATCGCTTCATACCCCAAAGCATTATCCACTATGCAACTAAGGCATGACAGCCGCCTTTTTGTGCCATAAGTATCAGTTATGTTTTGGTATTTGTAATTTTCTATTGCTATGCTAACAGCGGTCGAGCAATTCGACTCTACATAACAACAGGATATTACAACTGTCGCAACAAGTTTGGTTTCATCTAAAACTAGTATATACTTCCTGGTTACCTTGTAAAATAGACATGCATAAAATGTTAAATGAAATAAAAACTACTTTATACGATAATCTTATCCTTTATAGCATAACTTCCTACCATGCATTTGTAATCTATTTATCATTCCGTTTAGACTATTTAAAAGTTTTAATTAACTGTGATATTAGTTATACTTGACATTATAGTGTCTCTGTGTTGTACATTTTTCACAGATTTTGAGAGCTTGGAAATCTATAAGTTTAGTTGAATTACTATTGTGAATCAACCAGTAGAAGAAACTGTAAATAAGTATTTTGTATCAATCAATTTAACTGTAATATTTGAGAGTGTAAAGCTCTTTGCAAGATTTATTGCTGTGCAAAACTATAAAGTTTCAAGCAACCAATTACTTCTGAGAGTCTTATTAGAGGATTAATGGTCGAATGCATAAGACTCTGCGATCACCACCAGGTTTGAATGACTCCATTTATTTAGTTATTGACGGGTTTGTACAATCCAGCCCAAAAGTCATTGGGAGGATAAGATTACATCGTTTTATCTGATACAACCGCTTCAGTTTTCTATCGGGATATGACAGCCTATTCCAAAAGCTATGCAAGTTCGGGGGCTAAAAGTGTGTTGACAAATACAGTCATGCACTTCATTGTCAGTGTGGTGCGCTAAATAACCGAAAACGTCAGTCCTACTTCAGTTTGGGAATACAACGCGACTAACAGGATCGAATGTGGTTTACATATTCAGAAAAAAGCAGTTGTTACCCTTTTTTTCCTATAGTAATGTTTGGAAAAGTGGTAACAGTTGTAAACTTCATCAAGTGTTTCTCCCGATTATTAGTGACTCATTTGATCCGCACATGATTTGTTCTTACTGAAACCAGCGTCTTCGGGTCGCAGTTTTGAATGCAGAGCATCCTTTAGTCTCTCCAAGATGATGTGGCATAATATTTCTCTTGGAGTGGACAGGAGCGTGATTCCTCGCCGGTTCTTGAAAAGACTTAGGTCGCCCTTCTTCGGCAGTTTGACAAGATAGCCCTCCTTCCAATCTGTAGGTACCTTCCCTCCCTTCCAGACCTTCTGCAGTAGTGGTGTGAGCATGTGAACTGTTGTCTCTGCGTCTGCTTTCAGTATTTCTGGAGAAATTCCATCTGGTCTTGCTGCTTCCCCGCACTTCAGTAGCTTTATGGAGCTCAGAGCTTCGACTTTCATCGGAGGGCTTGTGTTCACTTGTAGTTCTGTAGCTGGGCTGCAGGTGGTATTTCTGGATGAAATGCAGGTGATGGTCGGTTCTAGAGTTTTCTGAAGTGGTCAGCCCATCGTTTCCTTTGTTTCTCTTCTTTCCTAATTAGATTTCCCTCATCATCTTTTATTGGTTTCATCTGTGTTGATCTCTTCCCAGACAGTAAGTAACCTGGTTATTTTGACATCGTGTTGACAGGTGTCTCCTGCAGCCTGCAGCGTGTTCTGCTTCACTTGCAAGTGTGTCGTGGAAGTGTCTTTCGTCTTTCCGCACACTCCTCTTCACTTCTTTGTCCAGTTCTTTATACGTTGTACTCACTTCCTCTATTCGTTGTTCATCGCTGCACTGGACTGGTTTATATTCTTCCTCACCATCTTCCTGTCCCTGCTGTATCAGCTTCCATGTGTCCGCCGAGATCCATTCCTTATTTGTTTCTTCTCCTTTCCTAATACGGGTACGCAGGTATCTGTCGACATCTCTTTCAAAGAGTTTCAGTGTTCTTCCACACAGGTTTCTCCACGGATGTTGCTCAATGTCTCTTATTTTGTTCTGATGGCTGCCGTGAAGATGTCCTTTGTAGTTTCGTCCTTCAGTTCAGTTTCTGTTCTGGGTGTTGGACTTGAACTGTGGTCTATCATCAACTTCCATGAAGGCTTTCAATTTGATTTGGAAGGTTCCTTGCACTAGGTAGTGGTCTGAGCCTACGTCTGCTCCCCTCCTTGATCTTGTGTCAAGTAGGCTGCGTCTCCACTTTCTTCAGACTGAGATGAAGTCGATTTAATTTTTAGTATGTCCTGGTGTCTGGTGAAATCCATGTCACTTTGTGGATATCCTTGTGCTTGAACACAGTGCCTCCAATCACCAAATCGTTGAATGCACAGAATTCTGCAAGCAATTCTCCATTGTCGTTCATTTCACCGAGTGCTTTTCGACCCATGATTGGTTCTCTTCCTATGTTGTCCACTCCCAGTTTGGCATTGATGTCACCCATTAGAATTTCGATATCCCCAACTGGATTTGGGTCTTGCCTAATACTGATTGTAGTTTTCTGTAGAATTCGTCCTTCTTCTCTTCGTCTGCATTATTCGTAGGCGCGTAGCATAGCATTGTATGATTGTGACTTTCTTTCCTTTTGAGTTGAATCTTGCTGTCATGATCCTGATCCTGGAGGAGACTGGTTCCCACTGCATGAGAACATCATGATAGCCACTCCCTCAGTGTGTTTGTGGTTGTGGTCTGGGTGACAATATCGGAGTAGATTATTGACCCTCCAATTAACAGTTTGGAGAGTGTACTTCCATTCCATCTGCTCTCGCAGATTCCTAGCACTTCAATGCTATACCTTCTTATCTCCTTTGCAATCTGGGCAGCCTTGGTGGGTTCAAATATAGTGCGGACATTCCATATGCCCATGTTTACTTTCGCTTTCATCGCGAGAAGATACATCGGCCAATTGACTTCCCGAAAGCTTCCACCAACCGGCGTCATTTCGTTTCTCCGATTCCAGTGAGGAATAAATTTGTTTTTATGTTTTATATTTTGTTTGTGCTTTGAAGTTTCGTCAGCGGTTTGATTGGTTTTCCGGGAAAAAGTTGCTAGCCCTACGCCCAACCTTCCCTCTTTACCCGGGTTTAGGACCGGCTGTAACTGAGTGACTGGTTTACCAAGCTGGATTGCTTACTCTACATTATATGTGAATTTTGGTTATAGAAATAGGATGACAATCATCTTGATTTTATGTTGACGTGTACACTCTCCATCTGTGTGTGAGAAGTATATTATTGATGCTTTTTATTCATTCTCACTCATTGAGCACTCGAGGAGAACGGACGCAATAATAGAATGGCGCAGTTTCAGAAATTGCTTGTTGCTGCTAATATCTTGTCAGAGTGAATGATTGCATTCGGAATTTATTCAGGATTAACATTTGATTTTATTATGGCTAATGGAATTATCAGATAACAATAAATCTAATGTTAATCACTGCCATCACTACAACAAAATCTTGCGAGAGTTCTTGTAATCAATCTCAGTATTCAAACATTGTGAATGCAGTGTCAATTTGTGTGTGTGTTTGAAGATAGAGAGGAACGAACTTATGTCTGAATGTAGTTAGATAATGAAATGTTTAAATTCCTAATAAATTATATAAATGAGGGAAAGATATGAACTTCAAATTGCTACGGAACCCGACAATGATGGTAATGACCACAGCACAAACAAAGATAATACTTTTATTTATCTAGTTCGACCGGGAAAGTAAAGTATCATAATTCTATCTGGATTGAAGGTTAAAGATGTGATGAGGAAAGGGCTAACACGTACACTTTTTTTACACATTGAAATGAGTTTGTTAAACTGAATCAGTTTGGCTTCTTTTAGGCTGATTAGTTAGAGATGGATAGAAGTAGAGTATTATGATGACACTTTGTAGAGAGTGATAACGACTGAAGTTTTATCAACCTAATGGTCATTATCACCAAGATGGTGAAGTATTGATCTTTTAATATATTTTACTATTTATTCGCCTTACCAAACTGAACGGCTTTCAGTAATTGGTTGAAAGGTTTGCCCGGTCGTTCTACCTATGTAACTATTTCTACCACAGCAGTTGAATTTAAAAGTACACGAAGATATAGCTGGACCAAGATGAAAGCGAACATTATCTTTGTTTATGCATCATTGTTGGGCTTCGTCTCAATTTGAAGTTCATATTTCGCCCTCAGTTACATAATTTACTAAGAATTTAAACATTTTTTCATCTAATTACTGTACAACAACAGTTTGTCCTTCTCTATCTCGAAATACAAACACAAATCGACTCTTGCATTCACGATTTTTGACCACTAAGATTAGTTACATAAACGTCTGTAAGATTTTATTGTTGTTGATATGGGTTTTTTTACCATCAGCTTCATTGTTATCCTCTAATTTATGCACAGGATTTCGAATCCTACTAACCATAATAGCATTGGTTGTGTGTATTGAATAATTGCTGAATGTAGTTTTAGAGTTTGACAAGAATTCGTAGGAAATACTCATTTTCTAAGGCTGTGACCTCAATTATTACAATAGAAATTATTAACTTGTGTCATTTTATTCTGAAATTAGTGTTTCAGGTGGGTTGTTCGTATTTGAATAAAATGCCTAACGTTATTTATGTGCATAACGAAAAGCGAAACTCCTCTCATTGACCAGACTGAAAGACATTTTATCTGTGTGATATTGAGTACATATAAATGCTGCCATACTTTACCTTCTTTCTGGTGAACCATAGTCTGCTTTCACTGCCTTAAATTATATATCTTATTTAAGTTGAACTAGAGGTTTCATACACCATGTGCACTTTATAGACTAAACCTTTCATCCAGAAGTAAAAGGACCATTAGAGACATTTATGAGCTGATGGCAACAAGTATCATCTTTATAGTCATGCCTACATTACAGATTGTCAATTACTTTTACTTTACTTAACTCTTGTTCATAGGATAAGGAATCGGCCATTAATAATCTCACATTAGCTAAGCAAAATGAAATTGATCAACTTCAACAAGTGAATAACGAATTGAAAAGAAAAATGTCTAAGCAGCGTCAAGAATTTGAAAATAAAGTAAGAATCCATGAATAAACACTATTTAATGACTGTTTTATTCACGGTATACTCATGTACGAATAAACCAACAAAAATAAACTACCGAAAAGGAGAAATGTTTGAGGTTCTAACATGGAATTCAGCTGGAAGTAACATGCAAAACAGCTTATGATAAGGTGCATAGCAACAATAATGGTTGTGAAGAGCAACTGATGAACCAGGTGTAGAGGTGAACATTCTAATTCATGAGTCATAAATTAATGGTTTCGACCTTTGTACTCAGTGAAATAAAGCGTAAGCTATTCAGAAATGCAATTCGATTTTTAATATATTGTGTATGCGTAGTTAATTTCAGTTCTTGATAACAGTCACTTCCAAAGCTGCCAGAAACTTCATGCTACAGTATCTTGAAATTCCTGTTAAGTGTATCTTAGATTTTGCCAAGAGTGTAAGTTTGAACAAAGCCAAAACAGTAACCTTAGCTGGTTGTTATGAATTCATGTTATTAGGAGTACTTATACCATCCAACCACCTCTGAGATGTTCTTCTAAGCAAACATACGAAAAGTATTATTGCGTGTTTCACTCAATTTGATAGGACAACATTAACCTAAAGGAAGAAAAGCGCTACTTTAAATAGAGTGGATTTATTGATTTCAAGTAAATTTTGATCATAAGTTGACATCATTTAGAGGATAGTTATGATCCTTAGCCCACTGGATGCTGTCTTGGGCCAGTTCGGAAATGGCATCAGTATGCTTCATGATCTCACGGTGAGTCGAAACTAGAAATTTCAGATCTCGTGGTGACTTTTCTATGTTTCTAGAAACTGCGACTGTGGATCCACATAGTTAACACGTAACTTGTCCACTTTACTCAGCGATCAATAAAAGTGCTATAATATCACCAATTAGTGCTACAGTTGTAAAAATGGAAGTGTTAACATTCCTATCAGAATAAAACCTAATTTATCACATTTTAGATTACAAAAACTAGAAACCAGCTAGAAGAAGCAATCAACAAAGAAAAGAGTAAACTGGAAGAATATCAGTCTGCTTGTATGGAGGCGGAACAAAAGTTGATCAAAGAAGTAGCATTGAAAGAAAATCTAGAAAAGCAGCTTGTAAAATCTTCTAACGAAGTTGAACGAATAAAGAAGGACTATGAAATCTTGACGAAACAAGCCAAGGAAAGTTTCTTGTAGAATTTTTTTTTTATCATATCCGTTTGTGTACGCTTGTAACAATTGCGAGCCTCACTGAATCTCGAGATCCAATCATGACGAGATCCATTGGTACATTTTCTTGGCTGTTTATCACAGTTAAAAGGATTTTGTTGAAGATTAGCTGATCATGTTACTTATACTCTGTTTTTAGCTCATTGTTGTAAGTACAGAAAAGTATAAAGGATTGAGAAACTTCGTTTCTAAGTTTTCATTATCGCCTACGACTAAACCATGATCAGACGTAATCAGAAAGAGACATTAACAAAACATTAATGTCTAGATATGAATTATATTTGCGTAAATCTCAGCTTGTTTGAAATAAACATATTCCAACTTTTATGGAGGAACTTCGGTTTCAGCTTATTAAGAGAAATGATCGAAATTAAAATACCCAAGATATGTAAGTGTGGGTAAATACGTGCACTTTATCTGTTTGTTCAATTCTGTTTTTATAATTATTGTTTAATAAATACTAATTACCAGTCAGTAATAGTGTGAAACCACATGTACTGTGTGTGCCTATTGTCATTTAGATCCCTTATCAAAAATATGAGATAAAGTTGATTAGTTAACATAGTGATTATCACGTGACTGTGTGTGCTTGTACAATGGGATAATGATAATAGTATATCAAACCAACCAAGGTTGTGTTGCTTTTGATATTAGGAAAATAAAGATCAGACTAGTGATGAAATTAAATGCAAGAGTTTGAATTTCACTGCCACTTAGGTTTCTATTCCTGTTTTAATCATCACATAGTATCAATAACATCGATCTACTAAAATACGGCTATCTCAGATGGTTTGGTCAGTAGCTGTTAGTTACCAAGATGTATCTCAATGTATATAATTTACTCAAAACAAGTGGGTGTGTTCATGTATGGTAGTCTTCGGCAGTTGATCCTCCTTGGCGTGGCCTGTGAGCGATGGTTCGATAAAAATCTATGTTCCACTGCTGTCAAGTGTAATGTGGTTTACTTGTTTTTTGAGCTTCTTAACATCTACTGAGGTTTAAGAAATCCATTTTGGATATAATCTATCCTTCTTCAACATTTACCTACCTAGATGGCTGCACTACATTTACTATATTATATTCAATGAATTTGATTTAATGAACACAGTTCTTTTGATCTTCATTCAGGATTACTCCACTTACCTTCATCAAGTTAGAATATAGGGTATTCGTTGTCTGAAACTTAACGCTTATATCATTACGATTAAGAAGTCTTTATTGTTTCTTTCTAAGTATCCTTACGAGAAGGAATTACCACAGTGTTAGTCCGATTGTTTAGAGGGAGATTTTGGTGTTATTCACTTCATTTTCTCAAGCTTCTCCATGTAAAAGTTTTGAGGTTGCCACTGTTCTTGAATGTATAGTAAACTAACTTTACATTTTTACTCTATTCCGGTGTAACAAAATGATAAGCTCTGTTGATTAGATTTCTGGCAGCTGCTAGTTCATGTCAGGGCAAGACTTTGGCATTTTAGTAGAGGATAGATTCCAGATAAACAGTATTGTTTTCTTAATGATATTTCAAGCAGTTACAGTATAAATATGAGTAATAAATTCTGCATGAAATGTCACTCAGCATATAATTACTGTGTCATTGAATGCTGTGTCAAGTAAACAATCCAAAATGCTACCTTCATAATTAAAAGAAGTGCAGACTGATAATCCATTTATCTCTCTAAACCTGTTGGTTTGAAAAAAATATTATTCGTAAATCTATCTATTGTCGTGTCGTTAACCAATGCAGTTCATAAATACCAATTTTCATAAACGAGATGGAATCTCTTTGCAGAAAGTAATAATATTTTTGATACTAATCTGTTAAGTTTTGATCAAAGTTTGCATAAAACATTAACCAGTCAAAAAGCGTTTGTGAGTATCATGAACTCTTTACGTTATGGTCATTTTCATTTAGTTTGTTTGTGAAGTGAACAAAATTTTAAGTTAATGCCAAAAAATATGTATAAGGAGCCAGAGATTCATGGAGTTTTTTGGGATTACTGTTTTTAAGATTCAGTTATGAACGCTCTAGAGTTCCCTCAATAAATGTTTTCTACATGTGAATCATTTCTTTATGATTTTACAAAAATAAAGCGAGTTGAGTAGTACAAAACCGAGACTCTGAGTTTTAAGTTGATGAATACGTGTCGATGTGATAGTGGAAAGAGGAGTATTCCAAATATATTGTTTGTTGGGAATAATTTCAAGTAACAGTTTGATTCATCCATGGAATTCGAATTTTTCCGAATAGTTTTTAAATGCCTACAACATTCATGAAGAGATTTCTATTGTATTTGTGAAGATATAAGTTTTAGTATGCAAGGAATTTATAGCAGATCTATCATTCACTGCATTAATATTGACTTCGAGCGATTTCAATTAGTTCAGTTTAACAAAATTGATGAATATTATATTGTCAGCCCAAAGTATTCCCATTTTTCATGTCAATTGCATGTACGGATCGGACACTGGTTGATTTTTTGCATCGATTACTGTTTCAGTTTTATACATGATGTTTTCCAGAGAGTTTGGACATCATATAGGTATGTTAATTAGATAATGATTTGTCGAATCTATATCGAATTTCTGTAGGGCAAAATATATCATCCTGTTTACGATATTTTGCTTATACTTTTTACCAGAAGTAAGTCTTATTATTATGGCATTACACTGACCCTTCAAAGTTGGCTCCTACAATTTTTCTCTCAGATAAAACTAAAAACCTGAAATAGGTTCACTTCATTGTGTTCGTTTTCCCCCCATTTTCCCTTTGCCTTAAAAATTTTCTGCTACACGCGATATATTTCGTTAAGATAATTGACATTTAAGGGACAGCTATCACTAATAACTAATTCTTTGCAAAAGATCTGTTACTGATTTGTTAACCATTAATCTCCATGTGAAAAACCAGTATCAGCTAGGCATGACACATAGTGAGATGTTAAGTGATTCGGAAAGGTGATAATAAATGGTTCACGTGTATGCGATGAAATCAGTATTGAAGTTTAGTGTATTTATCAAAGGGTAATAGGGTGGCAAATCAATTATTCACATATCAATCTTTCAATTTCTCTTGTTCGAACATTGTGCCCAAGAGTTTATGGGCATGGATGGACCTATTAAACATTTGGAACTTGGTTAAAAGTGTTGTGTGTGAACCCTGATATTAATCTCTCTGATTGACTATTCCATGAGTTTGAAGGTCTCTGTAAGGACTAACATGCTTTTCAAAGTTCTGTTGTAAACACTTTCGATTACTTGAAAAGTCTTTTCTGAATATTCTGTTAGTTTCTTGTCTTTCATTTTAAAGAACACGTGTTATTACACACTTTTTGTTTAGGTAAATATAGTTAGATATAAAAATAACTTCTACTCACATTTTAGCAAGTTGCATAGTATGGTTTAATGGTACTGTAAATCGTACAAAAGACAGTTCATGCAGTAAAAAGTCTCGGTGAGAAACGGAGCAGAACACAAATTGCTGCATGGCGAACTGAAAAACATAACAAATAGGTTTTAACAAATTATCTCACCTCTAAAAATGTTTCTATTTGTTATACTAATAACTATATAGTTGAAAATGAAGTTAGTAAGTAATTATTTTTGGTTGTGGATGTCTGTAAGATCTCAAAAAGTGTCATTAGTCTGATTTTTATGTACAACTTGAATTCAAGAATTCTAATGAAAACTGAAAAAGAACTTGTAGGTTGAGTGGTTAGGGTTAGTTATTAGTTAACTGTCTTGCGCCTTATCAAATGAGTTGATAGATGGAAAATAATTCATATCAATTGTGGACATATTTTCACATATCTTATCTGACAAGAATTGAGTGGATGAATATAAAATATCTCACTGTTGTAGAAATTCTTACTGGTGTGTTGTGAAATGTCCCCAACTTAACAAAATCTCATCATAATTAGTTTCGGTAGTCTGGTTATTCTAGAATCCACAATTGTATAGCAGCTGGATAAAAGGACTTGACATTATCATTAAATATAAATTTTGTTTCGTTCACATTGTTGTACATCGAGGTAACTTTCAGTGTATGACTCATCTGAAAATGAAAGGGGTATCATCTATTATGAAATATAACATCAGCTTGCTATGGAAAAGAGCCTCAACTAATTATGGACTGTTACAATGAAGTTTACAAAGGTTATGACTATGTTTATGCTCTTTGAACAAGATTTTACGTTGGCAAGTATTTTGGTGTGAGTATGTGTCAGCTTCTGAACATTCTAAGATGAGTGACATTTTTATTGACTGAATGTGATTGGTTAACGCTCAGAGAAGTGGCTGGTTAACTTAGTTCTACATTGGTGATTGATGATTTTACGAAAGGTAATTTTTTTTGACTGGAGTGTTGAGTGAGTGCTGATCTTTGCTAATATGAAATAGTAGTAGATATTCTGGTAATCAGTGCTCATGAGTATAAGGGAGTTATGAATGCCCTGAAAATACAAGCTGATTTATGGCTGAGTTTGAGAAAATATACACTGACTTACACCTATATATTTAATTATCTAGTGATAAAAAGTTAATCGAAGAATGAATAGTGGTCACTAGGCAACCGTATAATTTCCACAAATAAATGCAAGGCTTCTTTTCCATCAAATATTAAAGATTGCCTTTGAGATGTTTAATTTAAGTTACTTCTGACTACTTTGTCAAAGCCTGATAGATTCCTCTACTCACCATTGCGAAAATTCATATTTTTGACTGTTCTCCAATGCGTGTTCAGAATCAATAAAATTACTTCCCTCATTTTTGTTTAGGAAAGTTAGTGAACGTTTAGCCTGTTTGATCTTACTTTTAGGCATTTCAAGAACCCTGATCCTTACTACATGATCATTTGAGATAACAGTCGTAAATTTGTGTCATTAGTCGACTGAAGATATTTTCAGGTATTACAAGGACGTTATTTAAAAGAATTTTTTTTAACGCATTCTATTTAGTGACTTGACTATACTAGATACCTTCTTTATGTTTATAATGAGTGAAAAATTATTATTCAAGCTGGATGTTTTTAAAATATTTCATTTATCTCTTCCGTCGGTAATACTTCCAACGTACTACTCAATAGGAGTCAAAATTGAATTTCCTCTCAAGTTTTTAAATTGGTAGTAAACAGATTAAAGTAATGACTAAAGTGAAACCCTTAAAAATAAATCAATACATTGTAAGATAATCTTAGTCATTCAAATTCGGAGAGTTTTTAAGCTTTAAAACTAAAAGTTACATTCTGAACAGTTTATTTCATTTTGTTAAAGATACCATAGATAGGTAACGATTCAACACTGTAGGTCTAATGAGTTATCAATATTATTCAGTAATAAATCGAAATCTTAAAGGAATTTTTGAACTTGACTTCTGCCACTTAAAAGTGAGTGAATACGCGAACTATCAAAATAAAAATGATCATTGGCAACAGGAAAGAATCTTGACAACTAAAGACAATTAATTTCTCATTTGTGTGGAGAACTGTTAAGAGAAGATAGATATGAGATGAAAAAGAGTGGGAAATGAACAGAAGGCGAGGGGATGGAATAAAGATATAATGATACACACATAGGTCAGCAGGTTTTAAGTGATTTCACACCATACTGATATTGCCTAATATTTCAAAAGTAGAACCCTGAACTCATAAAAAAGGGTGCTTTAAGTTCAAAAGGTTGGTTTTAGAACACTAGTGAGAAGCAAATGCATGATGTGGTCACATAGTTATAACGAAGTTCCATCAGTTAAGAACTAAGAGATTTTTCAGCTTTTAGTTTAGTCATTCAGGCTGTGAGATAAACTAAATTGTGACAAAGTTTAGAATAGAAACAGCATCTTTATTAAATAAAGACCGTGTTATCTAGCGTTTTGAGTTAATGGTCATGGGGCTAAGCTGGTAGTGTTTATAACCACTGTCATTCTAAATTAACGTTTTTGTGTGCATTTAACAAGAGTGACATCATATCTAGGATTGAGGCGTGTGTAAGAGGTGCTTCCATTGAGTAACTCAAGTCAAAGTTAACTCACCGTTGAGTTGTCTGTGTCCTTCAACAAGGTAGATTTGATTCTGAGAGTTCACGTTCTTTGTTATGCATTTAAATCTATGCTCTAAAACCATATGTAAATTATCTTCGTCTTGAGATTTAGGCTCACTCGTATATCAACCATAGACATTATCAACTACACATAGTGCATCAAGATCTATTACATAACATTTTAAGCATGATAGTTTAAATAATCGATTGCATTCTATTGAAACCCTGTTGTCGTTTAGTTAGCTGACCTTGTCATCTGAAGCTGGGAAACATGTTTCATTAGATGCTGACTCACTGACCGAGTAGTAATATGTTCTCCTTAAGATTGCATGCCCATCGTACTCGTAGGTGTTTTTCTGTGCAGTCTCTAACTGCTACCTGAAAGATGCTCAGAACTTCTATGTTTCCAATAACTGTATGACTGATGTTGTTAGGTGATAGAAGTTGACTTGAATATTTTTCAAGAAATAATTTTTCAAGATGGGATGAAATGAGCTCTTATTTCTAAGTCCAAATTAAAGCACTTTTTAAGTACCTTGCTAAAATGGTACTGATCAGTATCACAACTAAAATTTGAAAATTTGAGGGCTAACCCTAGGAAATTCTTTTAGTAATTTGAATAAAATATCTTGTTCGGTTACATACGCATGTTATTTGATGAAGTTAATTATTATACCTCGTAGTGTTACGTTTCCTTGATTTGTAGTATTTTTATTCCGATTTCTCACAATCCTGTTTTGGACTGACCTACAGTTATGACTGTTTTTCCCATAACCCTGTAGTCTATTTCCACAAGTAAAAAGGCTGTAGTGGATAACAGACATCTTGGGATACCATCTGGTCTACTTTTTAACGTTTTGCAAATCCATATTACTGTTATGCATAAATATTTCAATAACGCTTCTTTCGGAATTGTAAAAATCAGCTGGATTATAATATGCTTTCAGTAAAAATATTGGGAATTCTTGACTTCATTACAAAAACTTGATGAGGAGTATCATTTATCAGTCCAGAATGCCACGAGTATCTTCAGCTATCTGAGGTGGTTCAATGGGGAACAAACGTGTAACGTTGTCATAATAGCTAGTTTTGACAGAAGTCGTTGACGCTAAATACTATTTATTTGCTCATTGACTAATTTATTGAGAAAAGCGTTTCAATATTTCCAGTGGCTAAATGGATTCAACTAAACACTTTCAGTCTATCTTGATTTTAACATGCATAAGAAGCGAATAATATAGATGAATATCTGTTTTTGTCCGGTAAACGTCGACGGAAAAGTCAAAGAAATATTCTATTTGTTTGTAATTAACATCAAGTATCACATTATATGTAGGAAATAATGTTCTTACAAAGGGTTATATTCCTTCGTACAGGCAATTATGGAAATTTGATAAGTTAATATAGATGAAAAAGATGGTAAAACTAAAAGCTCGTGAATAATGAGAAAAGTCTTGTCAAATTCTAAGATATCCCAATTTTTTAATTTCTTCCACTGGGCGCCTGGTTGTCCTAAAGTTATGAGTAAAATAAATGAAGAGGAGATAGAAATGGATTGAATTATAACGCAGAAGGGCTGAATTATCTGGGATCCATTCGGAAGGCAAGCAAGAAGGATACAAAGTTTCACAATAAGAGAAAACGTAATGTCCACACTTGATGGAAAATGTAATTAGTATAGTGCTCGGAAAATTAAATTGCTGGTTTCAGCAATCTAAATTTCACATTTTTCATCAAGAAATGATACAAAACAGAGTTCCCGGTACTCAGATTTACTGGTTAGACATAGTATTTCGTTTTATTCCGCTCATCAATAATGAATCAGTATTCTTTGTAAGCTCATAGTAAGACTTTAAGGTTTCATAATGGATGCACTACTTATTCGATACATTTCTTTCTAATCTAATTTTTACGAAATCCCAACAATGTTATGAGAAGAAACCAATAAATTAAAGCCCTTACTGTATCAAACTATATTCAGCTCTTTGGTACTTAATGAAGCATCATGTACCACTGAACCTGTAAAGTCTTGAAATTTTTTTATCACAACCCACTGAAATTTGAAATATATGGTAAATTAGGTAAGCGTTATGTGGACGACAAAGTGAATTCAAAGGTCGATTCATTTCTTTATAAAAAAGCATAATTGACGGAGAAGTACAACTATGATCGTTGCCAATACCTATTTTCCTAGACTTCAGTGCCCTGTTTGGCACTATTGATATCATCAGAAGCTCAGCATGAAAAACTCCCTGATATGTTGGAAATGCACTACGAAAGAATTTGTAAAAGGTTTCTTCGAAACGTAAATTAGCTCAAAAAGACACTTGGAAAAGATGTTTCTGAAGTTCCATGAAAATTCATAGTTTAAATTGTACACACAAAGCGCTCATTGATGAAGAAGACTTTGTTTTAAATTCTTTTACTATTAAGCTGTTTCTTCTTACCGCACAACTGTATGATAACTCCTTACAAGCAAATTTTGTATATACCTCAGTCTTCTGAATATTTAGTTTCATTGTGATTATTTATTATTATTATTATTACTGTCAGAACACAAATATGGTTCAGCAATAGCACTAAGAAATGCGTTAGACAAAATAGTTTAACAATATTGTGAAGACAAAAACGAAGAGAAATGGACATTTAAGAAGGGAAAACCATGAGAATGGCATGGTAAGAAGGGAAGTCTAGTAAGATGCATTCAAAACAAAGCATTCACTACTTTTCAGCAGCAGAAGATAGAAGGAAGCTACAACATGTATGCTCCTGGCTTTGATTGTCAGACATATCTGAGTAAGCCTTCAGACCCCATTCAGGGAGTCAAGATGTACCTACAGATACTAACCCGATGCAGCTATCCTTCATCCGACAGTGCCACGTCAAACACTTCCCACTTCTCCGCTTCGTCCCTCCAGTCCCGGGGTTAGAAAACAATGAACGGTATGAAAGCCGTCGGGATGATATGCACAACACATGTCCAAGCCACCAGATGACTTCACTTATTGAATGATGACCATCATTCTCAAACACTCTGTCGTACCTGAGAATTACTTACATGGTATTGCCACCGGATACGAGCAATCCTAGGGAGATAACGATGATCAAACACATGGAGTTGTTGCATATCCTCAGCTTGGGAGAGGCCAGGTTTCACAGAAGTAAAGCAGAATTGCTTGCATTGAAGCGTTGTAAACCCGATCTTTTGCGGTTAGACTAATGTCACAATGGCGTCAAAGGTAACCCAGACTGGCGTATACTACTCTAGCTTTCGATAAGTGGTTCGAAATTTCATCATTCATACCTACATCAGCAATCACACAACCATCTAGATACACGAACTTGTCGACAGCTTACCACCAGGGGTAAGTGCAGGTGGAGGCTGCTGTCAATCTAGCAAGAGTACTATGAACTTTAATGGTTCAAAGCGCATACCATACTTACGGACTTGTGAAGCGGTCAGATATGTATGAACCCACGCTTAACATTTGAAAGTATACAGAAATTTTGATGATATCATAGAAATACTTTAATATCACTTGCTAAGCCATCAAAAGCACATAAAGTAGGCTTTCAGATGAGTGCTTTCGATCATCTAAGACATGATAGTCGACTCAATTCCACAGAAGTTTGTTTTTCTTTCCAGTAGCTACGGTAACTTCTACCCTAAAAATTAAAAACAATACATTTTCCCTGAAATTCTTCAGTGATCCAGTCTGTTTTTCAGAGCTTAGGATGATTTATTTCTTTTGCCATCTGAATAAAATCACCCAAATTTTAGTCTGTTTTCCCATTTTAGATAAATTGATAAGAATGAAATTAAAACAGAATAAATGTATGTGTGTCGGAGAGGAAGATTGTGTGAAAATACGATATGAATCTGTATACTTCACCTGTTCTATCTTATTCTTCTTCCTACCATCTCATTTTCCAAACTTCTTCCCCCTACTTAACCTCAAGAATCTGAATTCTTCTTTCCCACCTCCAAGTAATCAATAAGTCTTGTTTCTAGAAGAAAAGTAGAAATGGATCAGTACAGGATTCTTGTTATTGAGTTTCTTTTAGTCAAACAATTTTTTCTGATCATCATTCATTGGAAAAATGATGCTTTGTAAAGTAATGATCGTTTCGAATTTGTTTTGCTTATTGTTTTTCTTGTTTCCTAAATAATCATTCAGCTGGAAAAAAGTTCACGTTTCACTAATCTTGTCGCCGAACTTGACCGTAAGTGGTCTGAAACAGTTGGTCGTGAATGTGCACGTGTACGTAATGAAACAAGCATGAAACTGGAATCAGACTACAAAATGAAATTGGAGGAGATTCGGAAAGGTTATGAAGAATCACTATCTAATGTTAATAAACAATGGGAAATAAAAATTCAAACGAAACAGTGTGAATTAGATGAAGTTATCCAGTATAAAAAAGAAATCTGTCAAGAAATTGAGGAGTTGAATAAAGATGCACTGAGGTCTGTTTTGTTTATTCACTAGTGTTCACACTAAGCACTTATCATTCAAGTGAAACTGTACTAATTTATTCCATTTGGCATCTTGAGCTAGATGATTAGGTAGTCCGGCAGAAATGTCAAAGATTTTTAAAACTCTGCAGAAGTTCGTTGAAACAACCAAATTATTATTATTGTTTTTTGTCCCTTGGGTTCCTAGTGGAACATAGGGCTTCAGTAGCACGTCGTCATTTCACTGTGTCCTCTGCAGTCTATTCAGCTTGGCTCCACGACTGCCCACAAGCTTTCATTTCTTCCTCACATGATCTCCTCCATGTCACCCTCGGACGCCTAACTCATCGTTTCCCACACGGGTTCCACTCGAAGGCCTGACGCATGATGTCTCTGAATGGTTTTCTCAGTTTATGCTTAATTCATCTCCACTTCCTTCTTCTGCATATTTGTTGGGTGATAGGTTTTTGGTTGGTTCTTTGCCAGCCACAGTGAGTTCCTTGTTGCTTATTATTATTATTCTGGTCATCTGATCTTCAGTATCGAGCCAGTGTGGGCGGCAGCTGTTGGTGATATGCGTCTGTACTTTATTGGAAATGCTTTCCGTGACACACCAAGTTTCTGAACCATCACACAGAAGCACTGACTTGACCGACTTATTATTGAAAATCTGGATGTTGTTCCTTATGCTGAGTGCAGTGCAGCAGATCTCCACACTGATTTCAGATTAATGAAGGCCTATCTTGCTTTTCCGATCCTGGTTTTGACGTCCTCATCTATGCCGCCTGTAGTTGAAACGATGTTGCCTAGGTAGGTGTAGGTGAAAGAGACAACCTTGTTTAGATATCTCTTGTTGATGGTGATTGGTGCTTGTTTTTGATGCGCATCATTTAGTTTTTCTAGGATGATGCGGCCTAATATTTTACTTGGTGTGGATATTATCATGATTCCTTGCCAGTGCTTGCAAACCTTAGGTCTCCCTTCTTTGGGAGTTTGACAAAGTAGCCCTTCTTCCAATCAATCGGCAGGTACCTTTCCTTCCTTGCAAACCTTCTGCAGTATTGGTGTTGAAACAACCAAAGCTACTTAAAAATATCAAATAAAAACAAAGTGTAATTTCCGTTTGGGTCTTCATAAGAATCAACAGATTTCAAAGAGGTCTTCATTAAGGAAATCGTGTCACTTAGGGAACTCTTGAAAATTTGAAAATAGCGGCATATACCTGGTCCTAGTTAAGGAACTTACAGAAGTGTGCTCTCATTATCTTATGTGGCATGCAACATAGTGCCTAAAAGTCTCTTATTGTACTTGAAGCCAATATGATGCAAGGACACAGTGTGAAATAAGAACAGGAGTATAAATATTGCTCAGTGATGACAACTGATTGTAGTTATCGTAGAAAAACAACTAGTTTTGGATAGAAAGTACGGGCTGTTTAACAGAAAACCAGTATCTTAAGAAAGCCACCCTGGACATGATACTTTAAGTTCTTTTCATCAATCTGGTATAGGGTTATCAATGTGCTATACTCACAAGGTGTTAACCTGGCCGAAAAGCAGGCTGTTTTGCAGTGAGTCTTCTGATGGTTAAGGAATTTAGACGTTGTGAAGCAAGCATAACTGTTTACTGATTCTGTAGTGGGAAGCATATTTATCTAACTGTTCTTTCCACCCACTGTCGTAGTTATGTAAGAGATCATTAAGAAACGAAAAGGATGCACCTGTTCACATTTGAATGGAATCTTGAAAATACTTCTGTCCTACTGCAGTGGCACTACTGGTTTAGTTTTGCAAAAAATGATTGCGTTAAGAGGAAAATAAGAATTGCTGGCCATGTGACTAAAACTTTGTTTATTTGTACTACATGGACTTTAATTACAATCTATGCAAGTGCCAAAGTTTTACTCCTATATATAAATCAGCTATTGATGAAAGCCTTCTTATATAGGTTTCAGTTTCGTTGGTATTTATGCAGGCATTTCTAAGTCTTTTGGGGACTTGTGTTTGCTTTTTATCCTAGCCTTAAAGAAAGAAGTTATTCAGGGTATGAATGAGGTTTCATAGTACTGGCTTTACACATGCATTAGTTATTGGATACTTGTAGAAAATGATTACTGGTACCGTACACTAAATGAATCCCTTGAAAAAACGTGCATCACAGCAGTATATGATACTTAACCTAAATTCACTACATTCAATAATCGGAATTTAGCTAAGAAGTTTCAAGCAACATTTCTTTTCTTAAAACTACTGATAATTTCTGTTTTCCAGTGAAAAATATACTAAACTTATTTTAACGATTTTTCAGTCAGCCGCTACGCTCGCACAGAATGAGGACTTGACTGCCAGTTTTCAGCCTTTGGCCCAAACTAAATGTAACTTTCAAGCTTTCAAGCTTGACAGTAGTTACCTTTGAAATTAGTTACTGTTTAGCCTTTTCAATTATCTTCTGAGTTAAGACTATTGTGAGTAATAATAACTAGAATGTACTTAGTCCTTCAAAACTTTCCAAATTGAGAACAATGAAAAATACAACGTCAAACATAATGAAAAGACAACTCAGTGGAAAAAACTTTCATATTGACCACATTATGCACTAAAACTCCAAACGTTTTTATAACCGTTAGGTACAGATCACATCCAAACACTGATTCCAAGTTGGTATTCATCGCACACTGATATCATTTGGAGGAACAATGGAAACGTTGGAGCACTGGACAGCTGTTTCGTCCTGGTATAGGACTCCTCAGCAGTGCGCACCCACGATTCCACCAAGGGTTGAACCCACGACCTTCAGGTTTCGTGGCCAGCAGGTTACCATTGAGCCGCCGGACCGGAATCCAGTGGTCCATATTTCCAACTTCTGTCAGTTCATGATAAAGCGCGATCGCCACCCAATGTCATCGCTGAGTTTTTGTCCTCACAGCCACTAGGTTTGCCCCACTGGTCACAACTTCTCACTGCAACTTCGAGAATCACCTCTTGAAGGTAGTCACCAATGGGCATCAATTTAATTGACTAATTGGTTGACAAAGAAGGGCTAAATCAATAATGATGCCTTCAGAAACAGAACAGAAAGTTGTTTCTCGAGTTATAGTGGTCATCCATGCGGTGATGAAAGTAATCACAGAGCTAAGAAATTTGACAAGGTTTTTGGTGGCTAATTGGTTTTATGTAGGTATTTACCACAGACTGACATCGGTTAGAGAATCACTCAAAACCTGGAGGCCCTGGACAACTGTTTTGTTCTAGTGTGGAACTCCTCAGGAATAGGCAGTCATGACCCCGCCAGGTTCCCTGACCTTCGGGTTTGTGGAAAGCCCGTTATTATTGAATCAGTAGATCGGGATCCAATGATCTTTATTTTCCTACTTCTAAACTACTGTCTTGTGCTCATAAGAGACTTGTTTAGAAATGAGATTTCCCGAAGTTTTAATGGAAATTCGTGACTGGTAGAGAAAATACGATTGGAAGCGAGGACAAGTATTCAGCGATGGCGTTGAATGAAGGTCGCACTTTATCAAGAACTGACAGAAGTAGGAAAATATGAACCATCTTTCTCCGATCCAGTGGCTCAGTGGCAGCGTATCACCACAGACCTGGTAGTCCTGAGTCTAACACTTGGTGTGGTCGTACGAATGCGCTGCTAAGGAGTCCCAAACAGGGACAAAACAACTGTCCTGTGCTTGCACGTTTTTAAAGATGAGAGTTGTTTCTGAATGCGAAGTAAAGTGGCTAAATGTTCACATTAAATATGTAACGAAAGTGAAGAAAGAGACAAAGACTCCAATGGAAGTTTTTAAAAAAGCAGTCATCTTAAACGAAGACTGTCATGGTCACTTGTAACGAATTTGATATCAGCTGGCAATTGAGACCTAAATGTTCTGGAAGAATTCTAAATCGGGGGATAGAATACTGAAATATTTTTATTGTGATTTGAGTGAATGAATAAGTACTGAATATGATCACAGTAATATTCACAGTGTTTTTTATTAGATCTCTCACTTTGAGGCGAAGAGTAGAGAGAAATCAGTTATTTTGTTCATGATAACTCTGGGCTGTATCCCCAGCTTCATTAAGTGCATAAAAGTGGATCATAAAAAAGCTTCAACCGAATTATTCTATGAGTTGATCTTGTGTTCGATAGATGGTTCAACATGGAGACTAGCTTCATCGTTGGAGAGATGACTAGGAAAGGTTACAGCGACTATTTCACACAATTCGGAAGTATGATATTTTCAAATCGAAACTGCAACTCCAAAAGTCTCCTAGTTAGGAAGGACATATTGAGTAAAAAGTAAGTTTCATCACGTTCACTTATTTCAACTTTTCAATAACATTTTAAATAACTTTTACATTATGAATCCCTAATTGCATTTCGTACTAAGATCTAACTTTACTTGAAATTCTGAAGTATTTCAAAGGAGAATCCAAACACTACTTCCGACAATTCACTGGATATGTCATCAGCAAAACTTGATGAAAGTGTCCAAAAGGATGAAGTGGTGAGTTTGAGCGTTTTTTTTTCAATAAATGTTGTCTACTTTCTTCGAAACCATGTTAAGTCAGAACTATCAATATTTAACCAGTACAGGGATTTATGGAAACCTATTACAAATTTAGCTTTTCTTGATAGATAAATTACAAGCTAGGATTTCATGGTAGTAAACCAGCTCCCAGTTGTTCACCATTTTCCATGCATGACACAACACTTTTTATTATTCACTTTCTTAACCTGTTTTTTGTAAACTTTCTTTCATTTTATGTAGGTTTAAAGAATGCGTCGTACACTTTATAGTATGGCATGGAAGTTGTAGTACGCAACCACACAATAGGGTGAGAGAGGGTAACAGTTCGAAAGAATAATGAGGTTAATTGAAAGGAGCAGTTTATTCCTGAATCCTTCTCTTCTTGTTCAACATTTAGCACGTAATAGGCATAATTCAACACTGATTCTAGAATCATGGAAATTCCTACCACCAATTAAGTCAAAGAATGTAAAGGAGTAAGATTGTAAAAAAGAAGACAGAAATTTATGATTATTTTGGTATGGTTACTAGCAGTATACTACTCAAAATGTGCTCAAAGGTGCTCAAAACATCATGTAGTCAATAATACTGTCTTACTATGTGTTAAGTCAAATAAACTAGCCTAAAATGGAATTCTTTTCCAGTCTAAACATAATTTCCCAAATACTCATAGTTGTCATTTTAAGTTCAACTTCAAACTAAACCTCATTGAATTTTGAAGATTTTGGAAAAGATATATGGTTATGTGTAAAAGTTATGCAGCTTTCAATTTTTCCGAAAGATGGGATAACTTTCCAAAAAGATTTCATCAGAATGTAACAAAACCGTTTCTGAGGCAAAATGATAATTTAATAATTCCCATTTTAACATCAAGAACAAGTTATTCAGCAAAAAGACTCATTCCAACGAATTTATTTTCAAGCTGTACAATTGTATATATATATATATATATGATATTTTAAAAATTATACCTCATGAAGAAAACTAAACACTATATGATGATGATGATGACAATCAAATCATAAAATGGATGATGACACAGGCATTCGCGATTATGATAACAACTGAAGTATGAATGATAAAGTAGATCATGTAATACATGGAACAGTTCATAGAAGGTAAATGACCCCGAAGGGGGTGAAAAAATTGATGAATGTGGTAAATCAGTTAAGTATTATGTAATAAAATTAGACAAGTTGGTCAAGATGAAATCAAAGTTTTCTAAAATGATTAAAACAGTTAAGTGAAATAAAACCGGAAACTAATCAAAGTGAAGGCAATTGTAATGACAACAATAGTGATAAAGGATGGATACAAGGGTTAAATTAACAAAGAGGGAGGAGAAGCTAATGGGGATAGGAAAATACTATGGATATGATAAAAACACTGACTGTACGTACTCCTTTTGTACACACAAAAATGATAAGCCAAGTAGGGGGTGACTTACTGAATATTCGTAATTAAACTAACAGGTATACTAGATCACATAAACTGAGTCAGAGTTCCATATTGCAGAATCGATCACGAGGTTGAAATTTGTGGAGTCAGTCACTTTAGAAAATCACTGATACCAATTACTGTTCCCTGCAAAATTGATACTACAATCAGAGGAAATGTATGAAATAATGATATGGATGTGGAAAGAGATCTTCATGCGTCTCACACAACTACGGTGATATTTACACATGTAAAATTTTTATGAATGAATATTTTCAAAGTTAGCTACCAGTAAAATTTATAAGTAAAAGTTTGGCGAAGAATAAGCTACAGAAATGTACTGCACAACTTTTTCATGTAACTTTTCTGTTCTTGAACAGTATAGGCTTAACCCTTTACGGGTTGTATGTAAGTTATTTTTCAGTCGTTTGGTTTGAGTGTAATGGCTGTGGATTTGAAAATTAAATAATTCGAAAATTGGCCACTAGTCACTTTATAAACAAGTACACGAGAGTAGAACCAAAGACACCAATGTATCAGTTCATAGTTGTAACGTTCTAAGCAGTGTCCTTCAAGTTTGGCTACTAACCTGAGTGATAAATCACTTTGTATATCTAACACTTCATTTGTCCTCTAACTGGCACTGATTTGCAATATAAATTGCTTACGTTTATTGGAACAATCTGGATATTATTACTGCTTGTAAGGAAAAGAGGTTGGTTGGCAAGACTACCAGTAGAGCAGCTATTCACATTACCTATTATTCAGTGAGTTGACTATCAGTAAAGATAACAGTTAGAATGTTTCAACTAAACATATAATCTGCTTTATGAAGGAACTTCCCTTTATTGTTGAAAGGTCACAAAATTATAAAGGCAGTTGTGCTTTGAAAGTCATAAACTTCATTAACTTTGATTACGCTTCTGTTTTTTTGTTTTCATTAAAGATGGATAAGGGTTTATTTTCGTCCGTCTTTTTCAATGAAGATTGCTCTGCCTTTATTCATAATAATGAAATCATTTGTTACTTTCTTTTCATTTTATACTTTCCTTATTGTTGCAGAAATTGTTTGGTGCGAACATACTGAACATAATTAATTTGTTTTTCTAGTTGTCTTTGCCTGATCACAAAAACTGAAAGTGCTATTATTTGTTTATTTCAAAGGGAAATTTTAATAATAATAACTGTTACAATCAGTACAATAATGTAGAAAAGATTGATTCATGTACGCAGAGTGATGTAAATTGGTTTGTTGAGAAAAGTCTTAGCAAGGTCAATACTAATGTTAGTACAAGCACACGCAACGAAAACTGCGATCACGTAAGTCTAGTTGTAAAAGGCAACCTTAACTGATTGTTGGTTATCAATTTTAAGCTATTCCATCCCCAATGATGATAAGATGTTAAGTATTCTTTATAAACATTATAGTAGAAAGAAATGTGGTTCGACGCTGAAGGCATACTGAATGATCAATCTTTTTGTAAAAGTGGTCTTCAATTTTTACAAGTTCATAAGAATACAGAAGATTAAGTGGATTAAGTGAGGCTGGAATGCTTTAGGGGTACTTATCTCATCTGAGCCGATATCCTACCTTATGACACTGAACTTATTTAGTCTAGTTAGGTAAAATAGATTAAATCACATATTTTCTGTGAGATGATTTGTTTAACTTTCCTAGTGTATTTAAATGTTATTAGCTCAAGGCTTCGGATATGGATTGCATGCAATATGCATCGTAATGTTGTTTCGGTAGGCATTTATAGGTTTACTGCATTCACTCTTTTCGGCTGCAGTTTTAATGTGAAAACTCATACGACAAAACTCTTGATACCATAAGTTGCGTATGTTTGTCACTCATCAAACACAATAAAATTGAACTACTTTTAAAAATTTTATCGTAGGCATTTAGTGTAAATATGCGTCATTCATGACAAATGTATTGTAAGTAAGATTATCATCATGCTACCCAAACTTAATTGGATCTACAGTTTATTGAATCATCACATCAGGGGGTTCTCTATGCGTAATATTATCTGTATTTTATAAAAGATAACCGTTTGAATCTTGATAGTATAGGTTTTGATGACATCTCAAAATTTTCTTTGTCAATATGCAGATTTATTCTTTCCTCTTGCAGCGATAATAGACAAAGTTAGTATTATGAAGGACACAAATCATATCAGAAGTGTTTTCGAGATCGTCTACCTTCCTAGTTGATTGAGTGAGTGTATAAGTGTGTTGGTGAGGTATTCTAAAGCTATACAGTTCACTTAACTGCAAATAAGAAACCTCAAAAGGTGGCCTGAAAAGTATGGTGAATTCCAACTTGCAAGTGTTTGGATTAATAAAGTATTCTTCTTATCACAGCTTTAATCTGTCCTTCTGGGAAAAATATCCGTCTTCCTACTTCATATCAAGTGTTGTTAATTCCATTTATGTATTAGTGTATCAGTACTGTCAGATTGCAATGCATAGGCAGCTATTCACGCTAGGGGTACTTTAAAGAGTTCAACATATGTCGTCTTGTCACTGCTATTATGCCAGATCAGTACCCTATACGTCCAAGGCACTAATAAAATAGGAAATATTATTTTGTGCAAATTAAAGGGATCATTCTAATTTATACTCGAAGAATAAGTATCTTTTCTACCTCAGGTTATTCAGTGACTAACCTGATTATTTATACGGACAAACAAGATGATGGGCTGTGCTTATGTAATGACCGAGGCCAAGTTTTGATCAGTCGTCAACAATCTGAAGTGTGATAATTTCCACGAATTGTAGCCATTCAAATACCAACCAGAAATCAGATGGATGTGTTAGCTCATTTGTCATCTCATTTCAAGTTTAAATACCAGTATTTACTCTTAATTTATATATGGAATAAAAGGCATCAGGAAATTTGTCGAATAAGTAAGGTGAAAGAAAATGAGAGAAACTGAAAAACCTATAAATGCGTATCTTAATGGATACATATTTGTATCTGAATCAGTAGAGTATAAGTTAGATAACAGAAAATATAATGAATATTTAGAATCAGAAAACTAGTACTTGAGGACTATCTTCATATCCTCGATAACATTCTTTAATTATATTAATTTCTTTTTAAGTCATTCATTGTAGGTAAACCATTCAGATTTAGTAGAGTTTTTCTCAGTTTTATCCATGGATACGATTTCATTTGCTCAATCCGATTGGCTTATAAGTTACTCACAATTTTTTTATAACTTCTTTTTTGGGAGTACCTTTTTCTGTTTTTTACAAGTAAATGCAGTTAACTACCGTTTTTGAATAAACTGTTCCTAATTATTGACCGTGAATACTAAAAAACCTTTGAATTTGATTCACTCGTTACCTTACTGAATAAACTCCGAAATATTCTTGTGTACAAAAGGGTTGTAATCACCAGTGAAGAAGATGGTATTAATCCTCAGGAATTTGAATCGCACTTGAGATACTTGAGATCATTTTGCTGTACTTCATTTTGTGTCTTATGGAACACGTTAGTCGGTTCAGAAAGTGGGCTGAAACGTTTATGCTTAACATATTTTTCTCATCTTTTAGGCACACCAGGGTCAGAAAACCGAAACCAAAACTATTGAGATGGACCAGTGTTTTAAAATTAGTCAACAAATATTCCGTTCCATAACTTTGAAAGCTCAACCACTAGATAATGTTCATATGTGAAGGCATCATATAGTGTATACTGACCTAATCTTCTCTTTCCATACAGGAGGCGAAATATGAAAACGCCCTACGACAAAAGCACCTCGAATTAGAAGAAATCAGAATCAATTACAACAAATTACTAGAAGGTTTTATGCGATCCCAAACAAACTTTGAACAGATTCAAACAGAACTTCAGAGTCAGCTGAATAGGGAACGAATGGAAAAAGAGAAGTTGATGTTAGTTCTGTTTTTTGATCGATTGTCCACCTCTTCCCTCTCTTTTTATGGCTTAAGTCGGGATGATTAAATTCTGACGCATTGCAGATAGCCATAGAGGTGATGGTAGTCTTTCATAATAGCACAATTTAATTTAGACTGCAGTGGAGAGGTTGCTCACCTCTTGTCGACTGTCATAATTTCTTTCTTTCACTTGGTTCCCGTGGCAATTACTAATAACAGTGTTTTAATTGACTGATAATCATTTCCTTGACAATCTCATAGAAATAGTGGGTTGGTGTCACTAAAATTCGTATTCTAGCCTATCTATGGATTACTATCCAAACCAGGTCGAAATTTGACAGTTTGAAAAATTGGGGCGTTGCGTTAAAGATATTCATTATTGTTGTGTTTGCATTTCCCAACAAATCGAAAACAAAACGAAGTTACCTTTACAGACGTTTCATTATTAGGTGCTAGTGGCTTTATCAAAGTCTTCCTAAACCAAAATTTTGCAATATCCAAGATTTCATGTGATAGATTAATCAGGTTTATTCTGTACGAAGGATTTTGTACTGTCAGGTGGTTCGAATTCTAGTTTACCAATACTTTGATAAAGTTTCTGTCAGTAAATAATGAAATATTAACATAAGCAACATTGACTTCTGTTTTATACATTTGAAAGACGACTATCGCAGTATTGCATAGTCTATTCCGTTTATTTCTAAATGAAGTTTAATTTGTGATGGATAACTTATTATTATCTCACTGAAAAGAATTTCTGTGGGGTAATAGATTTCGTTTGCGGGAAAACTACAATAAGTATTAGCAAAAATATTAAACCTTCCATTAAGGTCTTCATTACCAAGAAACCTCCTTCTTAGCAGTGTCCTGCTCTTACTACTTGTACTCGACACTCTGTCCGCTTTCCTACAGAATCTGTTTGCAGTGATGACTATCACTTCTTGCATTTTCTGCCATTTTCGTATGTACTACTGATATGCACGTTTGTTAGTAGCGTTCTCCAGTTGCTACATCAATATGCCCACTGTACTAATTTACTGGAGATACGACGACGAAATAATCAGTTAACTCTTATTTCAATTATATACCAGATCTATCATTGAAAGGGTTTCGAGTGAAACGACTGACAACAACAGTAATATTTAGTTATGGTACTCGATTAAACTTACAATAGGTAGTGCGCAGTAACTCATGATTGATAAGTGAAAAGGAGGGTTTGTTGATAGTAATAGTGGGGAGCGGTTGAAAAAACAGCCCAGGACGCATGTTAATCCTATTTAGAAATGGTCAACTGAATGTATCTGTCTCTCAGCGAAAGATGTTGTTCCTTCCAAGACTAGCCCAAGACTGACAGCTTTATGCCGGAGAGTCACTGATCCACAATAGCCACTTGTTTTGCAACTGGTATAGGACGAAAATTGTGTCTTAGATACCATTTCCAGCCACCAGTCATTATTACTGTCAAACGGAAATTACTGACGACATCAAGACACATGTGCAGGAGTCCATATACCAAGCAGTTCGGTCTAATCATTTAAAGGTAAATTACAGACTGCAGCATCGAAACTACTTGTTGCTTGTAGAAAGTATAAGGTTAATTGCAACATCGAAATTCAAACCATAGTGAGACTAAGTTGTTCTAGAAATTGGACATTGGTAATCTTATTTCTTAATAAGTGAAGGGAAAAGCAAGGTAGCAAAAACAACCTTATTTACTTTTTATTCATATGGCAACAGGAGTATTGAAATAGTAAGTGACACGTTTTAGAGGCCTGAACGAAAACTGTTATGAATACACCTAAAATTGAAACCAAAGAGCAAAATGAATTCCGTAGCATTTTTACCAATTTTATATAGTTTCCTGAAGGTATTTCGTTGCATTTCCGACTGCAGCTAAACATAATCTTACCAATATGCTATTAGTATTTTTGAGATCACCGTAATCATTGAAAAGAAGATAGCACATGACATTTAGTCAATTGCTTCATAAAATACAGAAAGCCTCCCCCTGTTTTTTAATTAATATTTATAAAGTATACTTCAAAAGTTTTCGAACTGACTATAAATCCTTTTGAAAGTCATATACAGATGGAAAACTTGGGCACTGTGGTAGAATTTAATTCCATATTAGATTTGCTTATTTGACTTACAACACACAGTGATCTGGTATTATTTACTTGATGACGTTTCGAGCATAAATTATTGCTCATATTCATGTCAGTGTAATCACACTACTTTGAACATTTGATTTCGATAGTTACGTCACCCAATGATTTGTTTTTACTGGTAGTAAAATCTTCCATATCTCTGGTATGGGTGTTGCGTCATTTCTATTACATGTATTGGGTGTTGACTCGTTGAATAAAGATTCAGTAATCAATCTCTCTCTCCACCTAATTATATTGGACTTAAGTACAGTGGTTTCATCCCATTCTATTGTGTCGTTGTATGTTAATGCATGCAATGAAATAGCCAAGAGTCTTTATAGATTAATGATCTTATTTAGGTCTGTCATTCTATATTTAACTGACGAAATATACCCATTTATTCATTAACAAGAACAAGGCATATATCAGCGAAGAAATATTTCTTTTCAACGACTTCATTATCAAGCTGTACAGTCGTATTTATACTCAGTAAAGTGACAGATAATTGCACTAATAAGTTGTTCAGTCAGTATGCAAAATATACAGTCCGTGGAGGGGTGGTGGTATTTGTTCAGGTGGAAGAGATAGGAAATGGGTCAACAAATAAGGAGGAATGAACTGATGATAAGTGGTGAGATAAGCGACAACTGCTGTCAAAGAATTGTAAAACGGTGATAATTAAGCTGAAACGTGTACAATAGGTCAATGATTAAGGAATGAATTGATATTAAAGAGTGAATATGGTTCAAGTGTTGTCAATGAAGTGAAAATTGGTGATAATGGTGATAATAGAAGAGAAGTATATCAGAGTGAAGCGAAGTGAACTGAAATTGACAAAATCAACAAAATGGTTTGTTAAGGCCAAGGTAGAGAAAGTGGTTTCACAAAACGTTTTTGAATGCAAAGTTTCGGTTTTTGTTCATGTAGTGTAGCTAATGCTTCAGCTGCGCATAAGTGATGGAAGCGTAAACCTTTGGAGTAGTTCAATTTAACTTTGTAAATTATTTTGAAGGATGAATCTCGGGGTGCTGATTGTCCACATTCAACAAGGTGTTCACATATGGATGAAGTCGTTTTCCTTTGCTCGCCTCTGGTAAGCCAAACCGGGTAGTGTTCAGCAACACGTTTTCGGAGGGCCCGCTTACAACGTCCAGTATAGTCAGCTCCACAGGAGCATGTGAAGTTGTAGACACACATAGAAGTGGACATAAGTGGAAGCCTATCCTTCACGCATTGACGAATCAGACGGCGGCTGGAGAATATCAATTTCAGTCTGGCAGCATAGAAGCTACTGTTGATACATCTTGACAGACGATTTTTCATAACTTCCGCTGTGGTGTCTCCTTTGAATTCTAGATTCGTGGTTAAAATTTTCTTAGGGACTCTAATGGGATGGTGAGTGGTTCGTTTCTTCAGATTCTTATCAATAAATCTCTCAGCTTATCCGTTATTAGATAGTATTGTTCTGAGAGGTTCGATTTCAACATCCACCGTATCTTCTGGACATATCTTATAGCTTCTGGAACACAGTGAGTGAATGAGATTTCTCTTACAACTAAGCGTTATCCAACTATAAAAGTTAGTGAACTGATCAGTCCAAGTTGGTTTTCGATAGACTGACCGTTGTATAAAGCCATCATCCCTTCTCTTTAGCCTTATGTCTAGAAAGTGGAACGATGAGTTTAACTCTCCTTCTACAGTGAATTTAACGGACGGGTGACAATCACTGAAGCGTCTGAACAGCTCGTCCACTGAACAGATTTCGTCGCAAATAAGAAAAGTGTCGTCCATGTACATTTTATACAAATAAAGTTCCGAAATTATTTCTTTAAGGGTCCCGTTTTCAAGCTTTGCCATATAGATATCGGCCAGAACAGGGCCTAGTGGAGACCGCATTGCAACGCCGTCCGTCTGATTATAATTTATATAATTGAATCTAAACTGTACATTAGACGTACATCTTAATATTACTTCTTTTAGGTGGCTCGTAGGTAATACAATGTTAATATTATTAGAATCAATGTAATCACATAGATAACAAACGGTTTAAACAAGTGGAACATTGGTAAATAAAGAACAAACATCAAGCGATATCATACGCTAACCCATTACATTGATATCTCCGATGCAGTGAACAAAACCAAATGTGTCGGGAAGACTTTACTTGCATAGACTTAATCTCACCGGTTCAAGCATTTTTGCAAGCCACTTTGCTAATGAGTGATAAGATGAATTAGGCATATCAAGTACTGGACGAAGTGGAAGTCTGCAGCTTCGGCAGACCATATAAACGCAGCATGTTTGAACCGGAGGGTCTAAGCTGCTCATACATATCTGGGGTAATTAAAGATTAGTCTTTCAATTTTCTTAAGGTTTTCGATATTTGATTTTCAACATCTTCTGTTCTATCCTTCTGATCTCTGGATTTTAGAAATTTATTGTCATCGCTGAGAATTAGGCATAGTTTATCAATATAGTCTGACCGATCCAAAACCACAATACCCGATCCTTTGTCTGGGCGTACAATTATAATATCCTTGTTGTTTAGTAGTATTTTCAATTGTGTTTTGTGCTCTTTGGAGATAATACCTCATTGTCGGCATAGTGTTTTCAAATATTGATAGCAGCAATGTAATAATGTGGATTTGAAAAGTTTGAAGCTTTCGGTGGACGTCGGGATTAAGTCTCTAGTCTGGCTGATAAGATTTTCAAATTGCACTTTTGTGTCAAGTTCTCTGGTTTTAGATGAAGCACAACATAACTTTGGTCCCAAAGACAAAATCTGTAACTGAGTGTTTGATAGAGTTATGCTGGAGTGGTTAAACACGTATCTCCCTGGTGCATCTGGAA